GAACAAGGAAGAAGAAGAACACAAGAATTGGTTATAACTGCTATTCTTTACTTTCTCTTAGGAAACAAGATTACAAGTTTACAAGAATAACAAATAACCCTCTCACCCTAAATTAGGATTTGCTGTATGTTGCAATGATGAGAGACTAGTATGCTATTTATAATAAAACCTAACATACTAACTAATGGGCTTTTTCCACAGGGCCCGTTATACAAGCTAACTTAATAAACAAGCTAACTTAACAAATTAGGGTTTAAACACTAAAACCTAATTTAACAAGCATTTTCGACAAATACATGCTATACCCTTCTTCGACTACAGCATGTACTTCGATCATACTAGAGTTTGATCCAAAATCCCACAAATCTCCACCTTGGACCTAACTCTACAGCATCAAGAGACACTAACTAGCTTTCTTCATGCAGCTTTATCAACTGCATACAGTGGAAAAACTTGCAACTTGGCAATGTTTTGGTGATCATATCAGCGGCATTGTGATCTGTCGAGACCTTCAGCACTTGGACTTCTCCACGCTCGATTACCCCTCTGACGAAATGCAGCCTCACATCTATGTGCTTGGTTCGCTCATGATAGGCTGAGTTCTTCGACAGGTGTATTGCACTTTGACTATCACATTTAACAGTGATACCTTGACCTTGAAGTTTCAGCTCCTTTGCAAAACCTTCAAGCCACAATGCTTCTTTCACAGCTTCAGTTAGGGCAATATATTCTGCTTCAGTAGTTGATAAGGCAACAACCTTCTGAAGAGTTGCTTTCCAACTAATTGTTGTACCAAACATAGTGAAAACATATCCAGAGATAGATTTTCTGGAATCCATACAGCCTGCATAATCAGAGTCAACATAGCCTTCGACAGCTGCTTTACTATCTTCACCCAAGGCTCCACCATAAATTAAGACTCTGTTCAGAGACCCATTTATGTACCTTAGAATCCACTTTAACGCTTTCCAGTGAGCCTTTCCAGGATTCGCCATGTACCTGCTTACAAGACTTACTGCATATGCTATGTCGGGTCTAGTACAGACCATAGCATACATCAAAGAACCAACTATATTAGCATATGGGATGCTGTTCATATAGGTTCTTTCAACATCAGTACTGGGACATTGATCAATGCTCAGCTTGAATTGAGGGTTTGTTGGAGTCACAACAGGCTTTGAATTCGACATACCAAACTTGTCAAGAATCTTTCGTAGGTATGCCTCTTGAGATAAGCATAATTTCGACTGCTTTCTATCTCTTCGAATGTCAATTCCAAGAATCCTAGATGCAGCTCCCAGATCCTTCATGTCAAACTCCTTATTGAGTTCAGCCTTCACCCTCATTACATCTTCGACATTGTTGCTTGCTATCAGAATATCATCAACATAAAGCAACAAAATAACAAATGAATTTTCAGGTCGAAATCTGGAGTAAACACAATGGTCGAACTGACTTCTAATGAAACCTATGTGTTCCATGAACTTGTCGAATCTTTTATTCCACTGTCGAGGAGATTGTTTAAGTCCATATAAAGATCTCTTCAGTTTGCACACATAATCTTCTTTCCCCTTTTCGACATACCCTTCAGGTTGCCTCATCAGGATTGTTTCATCTAAGTCACCATACAAGAACGCAGTCTTCACATCCATTTGTTCCAGTTCAAGGTCGAACTGAGCCACCATGGCAAGCAACATTCGGATGGATCTGTGCTTCACAACAGGGGAAAATACATCATTGAAGTCGACACCTTCTTTTTGAGTGAAACCCCTTGCGACTAATCTTGCCTTGTACCTCTTCGACATTACTCCTTCAATTCCTTCCTTAACTTTGAAAATCCACTTACAGCTGACTAACCTTGCCCCAACAGGTTTCTTGATTAGTTCCCAAGTGTGATTATCATGAAGAGATTTCATCTCATCATGCATGGCCTTTAGCCATTCAGTCTTCATTCGACTCCTTATAACTTCCTTATAATCTCTAGGTTCTTCGTCTAGAACTTCACTTGCAGAGATTAAGGCATAAGCTACAAGATCTGCATATCCAAGTCTCTGAGGTGGTTTTATGACTCTTCTTTGCCTATCTCTCGACAATAGGTAGTCATCAACAGTTTCCTCAACATCATCAGAATCTTCTGTTTCTTCTTCGACTTCATCTGGGATACGCATTTCAGCATCAACATGCTCCACCTCAACAGGAATTTCTACCTGTTCCAGCTCTTCGTCAACATCATCAGTCTTCTTGAAAGCCATTTCAGTTTCATTGAAAACTACATCTCGACTGGTGATACACCTCCTGTGACCTGGCTCTAGGCACCATAGCCTATAAGCTTTCACTCCTTCAGGGTATCCCATAAACATGCATTTCAGAGCTCTAGGTTCGACCTTGTCTTGCCTAATGTGAGCATAGGCTACACAGCCAAATACTCTTAGTTTGTCGAGATCTAGTGGATGTCCCGACCAAACTTCTTCAGGTGTCTTCATATCTAACGCTGTCGAAGGACATCTGTTTATCAGATATGCTGCTGTCGAAACAGCCTCAGCCCAAAACACCTTCTTTAATCCCGCACTAGTCAACATGCATCTAACTCTCTCCAAAATAGTTCGATTAAACCTTTCAGCCAAACCATTTTGTTGTGGAGTACCTGCGGTAGTTCTGTGCCTTGCAATACCAGAGGCAACACAAAAACTGTCGAACGCCTCATTGCAAAACTCAAGGCCATTGTCGGTTCTCAACCTCTTTACCTTTCTGCCAGTTTGATTTTCGACAAGAGTCTTCCAACTTTTGAAATTCTCAAAAGTTTCATCCTTAGTCTTCTGGATGAATACCCATAACTTTCTGGAATAGTCATCTACTATGGATAGAAAATACTTTGCTCCTGAATGTGATGGACACCTTGCAGGCCTCCAAAGATCAGCATGGATGTAATCAAGGGATCCATGTGTTCTTTGTTTGCCTTTGTTGAACTTCATTCTACAGGACTTTCCAAGTACACAGGGTTCACAAAACTTCAGCTTTTCGACTTTATCTTCACCAAGCAGATTTTGTTTCCCTAATTCAACCAGACCCCTTTCACTGACATGGCCCAATCTCATGTGCCAAATTTCTGTCTTCGACAAAGGTTTCGTGGATGCAACATTTGTCGAACCACTTACAACTTCAGCCTCAAGGGTATACAAGCCTTGTTTCTTCACGCCTCTCAAGACTTCCTTCGACCCTTTCATGACTCTCAGGATACTTTTCTCTCCTTGAAACACATATCCTTTCTTGTCGAATTCACCAAGAGAAATCAAATTTCTCTTCAAATCAGGTACATACCTGACTTCAGTCAACAATCTTATTGACTCATCATGGAGCTTGAATCTCACAGATCCAACGCCTGCAATCTTGCAAGCTTTGTTGTTTCCCAGCAATACAGATCCACCATCTTGATCACATAATTCCTCGAACAAGTCTTTGTTTGGAGTCATGTGCCAAGTGCATCCAGAATCCATAATCCACTCCTTCGACGAGTTGTTGCTTGAAACCACAAGAACATCAGATGATTCGAAATCATCTTGGACAATAGTTGCATTCCCATTATCCTTACCTCCATGATCTTTCAGGCGTTCAGGGCACACCTTTCTTGTGTGACCTACTTTCTTACAGTGATAGCATCTAATACCAGATGCGTCACCACTATAAGACTTCGACTGATTTTTACCTTTCCTCTTGTCGAATTTTCCTTTAACAGCCAAACCTTCACCAACCGTCGAAGGTTTATGCTCCTTACGTTCGTTCAAGTCCTTAGAGTACAAGGCTGATTGAACTTCTTCAAAGGTCAGGGACTCTCTTCCATACAAGAGGGTTTCTTTGAAGTGAGCATGTGATCTGGGCAAAGCGCACAACAATAACAGCGCTTGATCTTCATCATCAATCTTTACATCAATATTTTCAAGATCAAGAATCAGTTTGTTGAACATATCCAACTGCTCAGCCAACACTTTGTCTTCAATCATCTTGAATGAATACAAAGCTTGCTTCAGGTAGAGTCGATTTACCAGAGATTTGGTCATATACAAACTTTCAAGTTTCACCCATAACCCTGATGCCGTCGTCTCCTTTGATACCTGTCGAAGAACCTTATCACCAAGGCTCAACAAAATTGCGCTGTGTGCTTTCTCGATCATGGCCGTCTTCTCTCTTTCTGTTAACGCAACGTCCATCGCCGTCGCTCCCTTCAACGCTTCCAAACAACCCTGCTGAACCAGTAGGGCTTTCATCTTTAAGCGCCATAGACCGAAATCATTCACTCCGGTGAATTTTTCAATCTCATACTTTGTTGAAGGCATCTTCTCCACGCTCACCGCACCAATTTGTTGTGAATTCAATGCCAATAACAAAGTATAGAATTAGGGAGGAATAAGGAACAAGGAAGAAGAAGAACACAAGAATTGGTTATAACTGTTATTCTTTACTTTCTCTTAGGAAACAAGATTACAAGTTTACAAGAATAACAAATAACCCTCTCACCCTAAATTAGGATTTGCTGTATGTTGCAATGATGAGAGACTAGTATGCTATTTATAATAAAACCTAACATACTAACTAATGGGCTTTTTCCACAGGGCCCATTATACAAGCTAACTTAATAAACAAGCTAACTTAACAAATTAGGGTTTAAACACTAAAACCTAATTTAACAAGCATTTTCGACAAATACATGCTATACCCTTCTTCGACTACAGCATGTACTTCGATCATACTAGAGTTTGATCCAAAATCCCACAGACATCAATAATTTCAAAAAATAAAATAATAAAATATAATTACATATATCATTATCCGACACCAAAATACACTTATATGAATGAAATCTTGAAGTTACATTACATGGATACGTATTGACTACTTTTCTCGATCTACCTCTAGTCCAATTCATCTAAGCTTCAAGTCTAGGTTAATTCGTCCACCCATATTATTTTTCAATTGTATCACCAATTCTCTAGAAAACATTATAATCAACCCACAAAATCATGGATCATGTGCCCTCCATATTGATGATGTCTAAGCTCTACCTCCTGCTGCTGCAAATGTTGCTGTTGTACACTTTCAACGCCATGTCTAAGACCCAAAGTTAATGACACGGATCCATGTTGATACGGCAAAAAACCCATATTCATGTTTGGTGTAATCTCATTTTCCATTTTGGATCTCTTCTCTTGAATATTATTATTCCATTGCTCTTCATTTGTAATTACCTTTTCAACATTGTGAATGCCCGAAGATGATGACCCCATTTCCAAACACTGAAATTTCCTTTCATGTGTTCCAACTCTGCATGGTTCGTTTTTGTTATTGTTCTGATTCTGAGCTTCTGCTGTGCCTTTTGACTCAAGCATGTGTATTTCCTCAACCATTGGTTTCCATACACGAACTCGGGCATTTATGAACCAATTTGATACCTACATGACATTGATATTCCAGAAGTAATGATAAATATTCACATCAAGTTTCGAGAATGAAACAAATTTTACAAAAACAATTCAAGTAACGATTATTGGTTTAAGAGAAGTAGATCCCTACCTGGTTTCTTGATAGACCTGTTTGTGTTGCCAACATGTGTTTATCTGTATCTGTAGGGTACCTAAAATGATATTTAACAGCAAAACAAATATCATCATTTAATCATTTTATCTATGAAACACTAAAATAGACACTAACACGAGACGCTATTTTGATAAAATGAAATGATGAAATACTCCAAACACAAACTCAAATGATGAAACCACCATCCACCATTCGTCTACCCAAGACACTAGAACGTCTGTCTAGTGTCCAACATGTGTCAGTATCAGACATCAACAAATATCAGATACTGACAAGACACTAGACACGTGCTCATCTTGTTTTCCAGAAAACAAAATATTTATCATCAAACTTTGACAGAGACAGAGACATACGGATGAAGAAAATGCTCAAACAACCAAGCTTTAAGGATGGCCACTGAGCGTTCAGGTAAGCCTCTCTGGGGTCTCCAAACATGTTGTTGAGGTTCAACAAAGTCAATATTAGTGTTCTTGTGTAAGCTATTATTCATGAACCTTAGCCTTGTCATATTATTACTGTCAATTTTAGTACTGCTAGTACTACATGTGGTGGTTGGTAGTATTGAAAAATCCTCTCCCAATACTTGACATGTATGCTTGAGTTGATCTGTGATAGCATTTTTAAGGCATCTGAAGTGTTTTGATAGTGACTTGAGAACCATTGAAATGTATGGTGTAGCTGAACTTAGACCTGCTACTGACTCAAATGATGAAACCACCATTTGCATTTGTTGATGATATTGCTTGTATCTTCTTATAACCTATATACCAAAATGCAACATTAATGTCAATATCATTTTTAAATACCCATATTTAGTATACTCGATACAAGGACACTTTGAAACCAATAACTAAATTTTGTTTGAACAAATGTAGAACACAATGACACAGACATTGACACTTGATGTGTGTCGTTGGTCCGAGCCGTTTTTGAAGGCGTGCAAGATGTGTTATTGCACTGGGCCTAAAATTTGACTAGGTTAAACTATGACAAAATAGAGTCTCTATTTGTTTTGCCATAGTTAAACCATGGTTAAATTATATATGACCTCTGAAAACTTAAGACGGTCCTAAATGAAATTGTGGAATATAATCATATGTGTCATTATTCTATTATTGTCGAATACCGTATTGAGAAGCAAGTGACCTCATGTTTACGACGTATTGTCCCGTTTCGGATTTTCGACAAATCTTCTGAGTTTTCCCTTTGTAAAAGATGTTTTGTTGAGTTGAGGAGCGTGGGTGTTTTACATAAACTACCCTTAATCTCAATTCCCAATCAAGACGAGTCTTTTTGGTACACCAGAACACTAGTAATGCATTAAACAATAAAACTTTATTCTAACAAATCTTCAACTACATCTAACACATAAACACCGAACAAGCACGAGATTTTTTATATTTTTAAGTTTAATATCGTGACCAATTAATCTAAGAGGATCATTCCTACCGTCCACTTACGTGGCCTTATTTAAAGCCAGAGCTAAGCTCTTTATGGACAGACTAAACACGAGAATTGTTAGCACCTAACGGGATTTGAACCCGAAATTTTGTGAGGAGCACACTCTCACCCAAACCTTCACCAACAAACCAACTTCTGGGAGTTAGTCAAGCACTAGATCGTAAGTAGGATCGGTTGGATTGTGAAAGATCATAAACTCGGATCGTTACCACGTCACATAAGACTTTACCAAAATGAAAAATGGTAATTTCATGTATATTTGTACACACATACACAAAAACATGAAAATTTTAATTCGGGCCCAAAACAAAAGCCCAACACGTTTTCTTTTAAGATCTTGCTTCAAAAAGCTCAATCTTAACCACGTTGACGACAAAAACGATCATTATCTAATCGTAGCACTCTCGAGCATCATTGACTCATGAGATCTTACGATCCCGCCCTCGATCTTAACTACACTGCAAGACACACCTTCCATCAGAATGCAAAGAATAAATACTGAAAAAACTGTTGAAGACAAAAAGTAGCGTTCTTATTCCATCAGGTAATATATTGATTAATACAAAAAGCAATTTATGCTTTTTGCACAGAAGGTCTAATTTTATAAAGGAACTTTTTTCAATTATTTGCTTTTTTTCTCTGTTTCACTTTTTTCTCTCCCTATGATTTATGTTCTTTCTATTCATCATAGATTTATACCATTTATCTCATGGTGAATAAGAAAGTTCTTCAAACAACAACAGAAAAAGTTATGTAATACAGTGAAAAATTTAAAGTTATTGTAACCATGCATTCTAAGCAACACTAAACAATGATGAAATACTTTATACTGTTATAACAACCACAATTACTATATTAAGGTAAAAATATAAATATGTTTTGGATTAGCTAGAAGACAAAATAAACCAGGTAGGGTATTCTCTCAAACTCTTCCATAGAGTTCTGAGCAAAGTACTCTTAGAAAATGGATTGTTATCCAAATGCACTGTTTTTGCTTGGATTTTGGACCAATAAAATTATTTATAAATAACTATACAAGATATCAATCACTGTTTCTCAACTTTTTAGGGACAAAGATTGAGTTTTGCTCATTTCATTCTTTTGTATTGCATTAAACAACTGTCATTTAAACCTAGCCACATATTGCACTGCACAATTGCAATTGCCACTGCCACTTACAATACAAAGGTTTTATATTTATAGCTATTTGATTATGCCTATGAATCACGGACACCTATATAGAAATACGTCTCGCAGTGTCTGACATTTTTATGACGTATGTATGATATATAACATGTGTCATAAAAAATCAAAGAAATATAAAAAAAGTTATGTGTCTTCAAAAAATTAAGTTTTTACTTTGAGAGGGATGATTTGAGAAAACACAATTGATAAAATATAATAATACAGTCAACAAAAATACAGCCAACATTCATAGGAAAATCAAGCATATGATTAGAGAAGATTTATAACTTCTAAATTTAAAATTGATTTTTACTCTTTAATTTATTATTCAACCAGTAGAATGAATTTTATATAGTTAATTTATTTAAAATTAATTTTTATGACAAATCATGTGAAAGGTAAGATATCTAGACCCTAGGCAAACCCTACACAAACATAAAATAGAATAAAGAGAAAACAAAATAGGGAAGATTCCCATCTAGCACTTCAATCAATCCCATTAAAAGCATAAATATAACTCCACAGTGATTCTAAATTAGGGAACTACAATTAACTACTGTTTGAGAAAAATAATACATTAACAAAAATTATTAAAATGAAAACAGTTATACTTAACACATAGAAACATATCCTGTTAATTAATAATATTTTATACTAATTTTAAATAAAATATATTTTTTTCACACTCTGAATTATAAAAGAATTAAATCTTATTAATTTAGAGTTCGTGAATTTGGCAGGAGCTCTTTTGTTATTGGATCATATTTACTTAATTTTTAATAAAATATTTTGAATGTGTCTGTTTCAAATTATCAAATTAGATTTTTTTAAATCATATTCTTTGAATTTATATTTCTTAGAATAATATTCTAACTTATATGTTTGGATAAAAATAAACTTTCTTAAAAATATTTACAAATTATTTAATTTAAGAATTATAAAAAATAAAAATAGCAATAATTTGTGAGTAGAAGTGAGAATTTAGTAGTAATTGAATTTATTTTCATAGAAATGTTAGATTCCCGTTCTTTAATCATCAGAATAAATAAAATCATATAAAAATAAAATTTCTAAAAATAAAATATAAATTAGAATAATTTTTTTAAACTTAAATCAAACATACATGAAAATGTTGCATTCCGAATATTTTTTACAATCTAAAAACAAAATTTATCTAAGAAACTAGTATATTCAAAAGTAGTTTAGTTAATGATATTCAAAAGTAGTTTTTATTATATTCAAAAGTAGCTTACTTAATTAACTTCTTTTGTTGAAAATGAATGTATACATGTTTAACATATATAGATAAATAATTTGTTAATAAATAATATTCTAAACTAGTTTTGTGATAAATGACCAAGCCTTCTAAAAGAAACTAACTTGTTAATGATATTCAAGTAGTTTCTTAAAAGCATTATTCAACAAATTTCCTTTGTTGAAAAAACGTTTTATTTATTTTACTTTTCTAATATTATATATCACTAATAGGTGGAATAGATAGATCGACATGAATCCACTATCTTTGTCTACAATAAATTTAAACTGAAACTATTTTAGAAATCTAATTAGATACAAAAATAATAAGACTATAGTATTTTAGTATTAGATTTAGATTTAGAATTTAGTATATTATTATATTAGATTTAGTATTTTAGACTAAATTATAATTTTATTCTTTTGTATTAAATTAAGTTCATGGATCACATTAACATTTTTTGTATTTTAGTATTACAATTTATTATATTTTTATAAATCAAAATTGAAATATAATAATAAATAGTCAAACTAAAAAAAAAATTGAAATATAATAATCAAAATTTTGATTATAACATACTACACTTTGGTCTTTAAATATCTAATCAACACGTTCTATTCTCACACCTAATCATAGACATTTCTTTCCCCATATAAATTAATAAATGAGAACCAAAAATTCAAAACAAAAGAAGAAGAATGAAAAGTTCTATGGAAAAAACATTGATTACAAATTAACAACGCAAAATTTAGAACTTATTTGTAGAAAATTAACAGCATGTGTTCACAAAATACACGACACACAAGATAATGCAAATTTTGACTATCCTAATTCTGAAAACATGAGTTCAACTTTTCAACAGCTAAGAACAATACATTTAGAATTTTTTATATATTAGAACAGTAAATCCCTGCAGACATTAATTAACTGGGACAAAAACATAAAAAAGACACAAGTCTCAGCAAGAAAACAAAAACATAGTACATAAATAAAAACAGGCTAAAATATAATAAGGGTTACATGAACAGTTCAGAAAACCTACCTCTTCTTGCATGAACAGTAGTTGAGCCTTATTCTTTTGGCACTCTGGTCGAGAACTAGAAGAAGAAGAAAGACAAAAGTTATTCCCAACTCCTCCTCCATCAGCAACAACAAGAGCACTATTCTCTTTCTCTTTTGAACCACCTGAACTACTACTACCTTTTCCAGTTTCATGATCTTCAACATTAACACTAACATCTCGAGAAACCCATTTTGGAACATTGTCAAATGATTTTGCAATAGTTACACCAGATTTACAACAACATTCCTCTAACAACTCTTGACAAGGTTTTAAAAACCTTGAACTTTTCAATATTGTTGCGTATCCAGTAAAGGGTCCAAGAGGACCAACGTTCCTAAAACCGGTAGTTGTAGTAGTAGGGCTAGTGTTTGAAGAAATTCCCATTGGTTCTGCTTGATGAATCGATTTCGCAACGTTTAAGAAAGATCCTTGTTCGAAAGTTGAAGCAGGAGGTGAAGGTTTAGACTGTGAAGAAGAATTTGATGAAAGTGACAAAGATAACCCTTGTGGATTATTACAATCATTAAAGAAAGAACCCATGTTGTTGTTGTTGTCGAGAGTAACAACACCTCTACTTGTCCACAAATCACCTTGGTTTTCATGGAACACATTATGACTACTATTCACACCTCCCCAAACACCATGATGCATTAAAGAAGCACTTTGAGGACTAATAGAATTTGAAGACTTGAAAATATCACCATGGTTATGGTTAAGCTCAGAAGGCAAAAAAACATTGTGATTTGCTTCATTTGCATAATAATAACTCAATCTATTATTATTGTTACTGTTACTCGCTTCACCTAGCTCCTGATAATACTCCAAGGGGCTTCTGTGTAACGGATTCGACGGTGATGAAAAACTGTTCATCATTTGATCAGATGAATAAATACCAACTTCATCAGCTTCAAGCATATTGTTGTTGTTGTTGGAATTTCTTACTTGATGATGAATATCCATGTTGAAACCTTGTTGTGGTTGTTGTTGGTGTAATGATAATAATAACTCTTCTATGTTGCTGTTGTTGTTAGGAAACTCTTGATTCTGGATCCTTAGTTTGTCTCGCCTAATTTGTTGTGCAACATGCAATTGTTCAGGCCTCATTTCATATGAGATTTGAAACACAAACACCGAATGAATTAACTGACATTAAAATACAATAAAAAATAAGTAATATTATTATTAATATAATTACACATCAACAACAACAACAAATAATATAATAATAATAACAATAATAACAATAACAAACAAAACAAAAACAAAAACAAATTAAGAAAACAAACTACCTGTTTTTATTTTTTGTCTCAACTTTTCATGCTTTCTTTCTAGCTTTATAATTTTTGTGTGACCAAACTGCAGTATAGGCTTTACAGTGCAACTTCCTTCAACTCAAACAAAACAAGAGAGTTAGGTTAGAAACAACTAGCAAAAGTAAACCCTAGGTAGGTCTTGATTTCAACTACAAGAACTCAAATGGATCTACAAAGTGAAAGTGAAGGCTCTTGATTGAAGATGATATGGAAAAGAAGAAGATGGAAGAGAAAAGTGAAGATTGTTGAGGATAGAAAGATAGAGGAAACACAAGGTGTGTGTGAAAGAAAAACAATGATTGCGAAAAAGATTTTTGATCCGTTAGCTTTCACGTCTAAATTAACGTCAAGTCACATTTTATTTTTTATGTGGTTAAATTAAAATTACTCTTTGTTGGAATATTGAGGAAATGTGTGACGTTGTTGTGAGTGGTGAGTGGGGTGAAACTCAACTCACTCAACTCCAACATTATTTGTGGACCCTTTTTGTTGTTCTCTTTTTCACAGTTTTATTATCTGTATTGGTTCCTTACTTTTGCTACTTTTAATTAACTTCTCATCTCATGTATCGATTCTGTCATTTAATTGTTTTCTTTGTGTACGATATCATGTTTCGTACACTCGACCTCTACATATTTAGTGTAATCTTACGGGGCTCAATTGTGTCTTATCTATGTGGTGTAGTCATGTATTTTAAAATGTTTTACTATATGTCGTTTTCCATATTAGTGAGACACTGAGACAAGAGAAATGTTCTTACATCATTCTAACACATTGAGATAGAAAAACAAAATAAAGAGAGGTGCGCCAACCGAAGGAATCAGACCAAAAATTTTAGGATGGTCACTAACATAAAATAAAAATATTATAAAAATATAGTATAATATATAAAATATTTAAATTCTAATTACATGAATATCGTGTATATCGTGATAAATCTATTTCATGTAGTCATTACACTAATAAAATATTGACATTTTTAAATAGAAATTGGGGACGAAATAAATTTCGTCTTAAATGATATTAAGTTTTTAGATGGATTTCAATTCTTAGAGATTTTGAGACAAATTTGAGACGAATTATATAATTATTGTTTATTTTACTATATTTTAAAAAAATTATTCTAAAATCGTGTGATATATTGAGTCGAGTTTGAGACAAATTTCAATTATATACCTTTAAGATAGATTTTAAAAAAATACATAATTTTTAATTATTTTATTATTTATTTGAAATTCCGTCTCAAATTTGTGTAAAATATTAAAACGGGTTTTAGACGGAATTCCATTGAATATATAGACTTTGAGATGAATTTTAGACATAATGCAAAATTGAGACAAATGTTAATTTTGTAAATAATCATTTGAGATATATTTTAAATATAATACACAATTACTATTATTATTTACAATAATTTTTCTTAAAAACATATTGTAAATAATTAAGAATATCAATAATAAATTAAATAATTAATTAAGTAATAATTAAGAATGATGATAATAATTAGTTAAATTTTGATACGTAGAGTGAAGTTGTAGCTTATAGAATGAAATATAGATATAAAGTTAAATAATTGAATGAGAATGTACTGTGTGGTGTGAGACCATGACAACTAATTAGAATTGAAAGAACATCTCAATGTTTATTATGACAATGTTTATTTTTAATTTATCACTTATGAAAAGTTAATGAACATATTTTTTAGATTGTAATATCTAATAGAAAATATATACGATATATGAGGCTATAAATTTTATTTTAAAAAAGAATAATGGGGTGGCCGTGACCTTCTTTTGCCACTCTGTGTCTCCGCCACTAGGTGTGCTAGTAATGGAATAGACGATGTGATAAGAAAAGGATAAAAATAAATAAATAAAGTGTTGAATGTTTATTGGAAAATAAAAATTGTTTAAATATAATTTTTTTTGAAGAATGTAAGAATGTAAATTGTGTTATTCAGAACTAGAAATAATCCCTCAAACGATGAGGTGGTGCTTTGCTATAGTATTGTTTCGGTGTGGAGGAGAGGGGGTTAAAGGTTAACAAACACTCAAATTAATGAGAGAATCACTAGTAATGTTTGAGTGAAAATTGATTTTTTTTAAACTTGAGAGTGACATGTTTTATCTCTTAAATAGTGGGAGTAGTCAAAACAATATGCAAGAAGTATGACACGTGATGCAGACAATCATTTGTTTGATCTAGACGGTAGAGTTGTCTACTTTAGGTGAAAATAGGAAACAATTGTTCCTTGTGTTTGCTTCCTTCACTTTGCCTCTAAACCTTTCTCTTTAGGCCTTTTGAGCGGCATAGAACAATTGTCCCACAAACCTATATCCCTACTTTGCAAGATGAGGGTTTGTCATATGTCATATCCCAAATTTGTCATACCCCTTTATAAGGATCATCTGGCTTATGCATCTCGTAATCATCATGTACACACCTTCCATTAGGTCATTTAACTCATCATGCATCATTAATCAATAAACTTAGCATAGGATCAAAGATATTGAGGAATTAGGATTTATCTATGCTTTAAGGCTTTCACTTCACTCAAGCTCCCCTTGTATTCACCGTATTTTCTTTCACATGTGTAACACGGTGGGAGAACTGACTTTAGTGTTTTTGCATTTTATCGCAATTGTTGCGGTTAGCAAGAGTCACCGCCGAATTTTCTTTTATCCAAAAGGAAAGGCTGAAAAGAACAGGAAAGACCTTTAGAGATGATTTCTTGAGTTCGAGGGGTAGATTATGAAAAAGGAAGGTATTAGCACCATTTTCATCCGTAGTTATCTACGGGCTCTTAGTTGCTTGCTAGATCACTTGCTTTTGTTTGAATGTGTGCTTGTGGTGTGGGTTTTGAAAGTATTTTGAAAATATCTTTGTAATGGTTCTCGTTTCTATAAGAACGCGTACAAAGTGTTTGTTTCAAAAATAGTTCAAAGAGGTGTTTGTGGAATGTGTTTTTGAAAAGTGATTTTGAAAATGTGTCTTCTTTGTAATGGCTCTCGTTTCTATAAAAACGCGTACAAAGTTTTTGTCTTTAAAAAAATGTTTCAAAGTGAAAGTGTTGATGTATAAAAATGTTTTTGTTGTGAGCAAACGAGCAACTAGGAGCAAATCTACCTACTCAAAAGGTCTTATATGTTCTTTTCATCCTCCTTTAGATGTTGCCATCTCACCATTGTTTTGGTAAGAAGCCCCATCGTTGGATGTGAAGGGACAGGTGCGGGACATTTGTATAGTCATAGAAGACAACCTATGGGACGTTTTAGCAATGTCATTTAGGGACTAGATCGTTTACCGAAGGCAACATTGAGGGTCATCGAGGGACTGCGATCTTTTATCGATGGTCTTTGCTAAAACACCCATATTCGAGGGACATGACTATTTTCCGAAAGGCAACAAAGTGGAATTACCCTAAAGGTGCTAGTGTGCAAGTGTGTTTGATTTACATGCATTTAGTCTTGATTAGGATTATCTATTTGTCGATTTCATGTCTTACCATATACACCCTAATTACTAGCAATATATGAAAACAATAAGTGCGGAAAAGTAAAGTCATACGCTATTACATCATTAAGGAGATGGGGTGTACAAATTTATAAATGGGGATTACAAGAAATTAAAGTCCTAGTTATCTATTACAACCATATTGAAATAATGTAAAAGAAATGTAAAATGAACTTGTTTTGTTTTTGTTAAGAAAAGAGATAAGTTTGCTTAAGGAAATATTTTGATCTTTTGGTTTTAAAAGAGATAAAACAAAGTATGTGATTTCAAAAAATAATTTTTTTGATGTTTTTATTATTAAAGATAAAATAAAAATAGTAAGAGAAAAAGGGATCAGAATCAGAGCGTGGCTGAAAGGGACGGAAATAAAGGGTAGAAACTCTGACTCTGATGCGCTATAAAAATTAGAAATAACATGTTAGCAGAAAAGGGGAAGGTCAGAAGTTCTGGGTCTGGGTACACCAAGTTATGAGGTTGCTGGGAACAAAGGAAAACCTAGAAGTTTTGATTGCTGAGGGAGTCTAGGAACTCTGGTACGATTGGGAATCTAGAAGTTCTAATGTCACTGGCAAATCAGAAGTTCTGGCTATTTGAGAGAGTGAGGTGGTAATGTTGTTGGGTAAGGTTGCCTAGAAGTTATGATTTAGGAATATTGTCTGACAGATAAATGGGTGAAAAGGTCACTAAATAAACCTAAAAAAATATGCTTATGGGCTAGAACCCAGAATCCTTAGCACTAATGTCTTATGCGCACATACTGTCTACTATTGGGGTGGCTGTTCATCCATTAGTAGAAGCAAAAGCATAAATATATATTACAAAGTAAACTCTGATGATAAATTCCATCTCTTTCTTCATGCTAATTATAACATCTGCAACTTAGTCATTTCTCAACAAAACAGAAAACACAAACATGGAAATTATGGCAGGTTTCCATCATGGTTGCAGAAACATAAAAAAATGTCAAGACTGTAAATCAGAAACAAGTATGTATCTGCTAATCCTAGTTTCCTTAAGAAGTTCTGAACTGATATTCTCCCTACTTAGGCAGAAAATACATGAAATCTATGAATTTGTACAACATCAGAATCAAGGTGTCTACATTGTATTCTGAACATGCAAGTCTAATAATGCTTAAGTGATATGATGAGAGTCAACAGAAACTTACCTTGCAGTTGGAAAATGTTCTGACTGCTCGTAATTTTATGATCAGCCTCCTCACGTGCTCAGCAAGTTAGAACAATCTTTAACTTGAGCTATGAGTGGCTGGAAAATCCG